CAATAATCCTCTTCAATTTTCAGAATATTATTATAGTCTATTTTTATAGAGGATTCTAAAGATTGAAGGAAAGTACTGGAATGATAGGATGGCGAATTTCGAATGCCGTTATGTCTAGCTAGGATACGTCTTTTATTTTTAAAAATGTCCCCAAATGAATTATTTTTCCAAATGGTGACAGTATCCTTAAAAGCGGATACTGCTTGGTTATAAGTATTGTTACACCAAGTGTTATTGACTATGGTTTTGAAGTGAGGGCGTTTGCACCAAAATGGTTCCAACCGGAATGGTTTGCCCAATAAATGGCACTGTTTTGGAATGAGATTAATGAGCAAGGGATTATGGTCAGAATGAGTCTTAGGCAGGTGAGTTATAGAAGCATTAGGAAAAATCTGGATCCATTGATCATTACCAAAAACTTTGTCTAGGCGTTCCATGATAAGGCTATTATTAGCAAATCTACGGTTAGACCATGTATACTAACAGCCTTTGTAACCAAGATCTTGTAATTACAGTAATTTATACTATTCCAAAGTTTAAAGGCACGTCTACAATTTAGAGGTCTACCTCCTATTTTATCATTAGTACTAAACACATCATTAAAATCACCACCTACTAGCCATGGTCCATTGTGACTATCTGCTATGTTTTTCAAAATTTTCCACATATGATCTCTAATAACAACATTAGTACTAGCATATATTGAGGAGAATAACCACTTAAAATTAGTGGGTCGTACCTCAATTGTTGCATGTATTTCATGGTTTCTACGCATAAAGTTGTGAATGTTCACTTTGGTATGGTCCCAAAGTATCACCGTGCCCCCAGCTTGGCCATCAGCTGACACCTCAATCAGCTCAGAAAACCCATAGTCATTCATCAAGGAGGCATGAGCTTGCATTTTGGTCTCGAGGAGGGTAACCATGCATGGCCTTAGTGAACCATAAACTCCCTAAAATTCCTTCTAAAATCCTCATTATTCCCACCCCTAATGTTCCAGATTATGAAGTTAGTGGGATTAAAAATATTAACAGTTTGGGTTGGGTTGTGACCATTCTCCATCCTTTCCCTGGCAGGGGGTGAGTTCCCCCTCAGAGATGGCACAAGGATCATTGCTCTGTTCCCCATAGTTAGGTCCTGTGGTGGACGAATATCCATTGCACACTTGTATAGATTCCGGGGGCAAGAAAGAATGTGCCTCTTCTCTTGAGTTTCTTTGAACAAGAAAACCTTTACCTCGTTTAGGTTTCCCAATTCCACAACTGATTCCCCTATCAAATCTATTTGGTCGATCATTTCCTCTGCCACTGGATTGCCTACGTTTGGAACTACTGGAGGATTGAGATTGATATCTTCCACTGGCATTTGCATGTTGGGATTTTGTGGTTGTTGTTGGGGTTGTGGTGCTTCCCACTGCATTAGAATTGGATTCACAGCAGTTAGGGCTTCTGGTGGGAAAAAAGGAAGATCTAAGCCCAGGTTCTGGGGTAGTATAGGAACTGGATTGAAGTGAAGAGGGGGGGGGGGGTTAGGTTCCACTGGGCTCTCATCTCTTGTACTAGATTTAGGTTCATTGCTGGTGCTAAGGGTTGTAAAATGTTGTTCACCCACACGTGGTTCATGTAGTTGCTCATAGCAAGGTGAAGACCCTCAGACACTAGTTGAGCTAAATAGCGTGGGTTTTGGATCAGTATCACACTCTCCTGCCCATTGATTGTGGCATTGAACATAAGACGCCTCCCCATAAGTCCTATCTCTAGCCAGGACAGTGGGTGATGGTCTTGTGACAATGGAGGTTGAACATAGATTATTGGGTTGTTTGGAAGTTGGTGTGGGAGTGGTGGAAGATTTTCCATGTTCACTGGTCGTGGGGGACGAAGGATTTGGATGAGTCTGTATCTCCTCCGGTTGTTCAGTAGTAGTCTTGGCATTTTTAGAAGAATGGTTGTCACTTAAATTGGAGGGGATGGAAGAGTAGGGTATGATTGCATCTACATGCATGCAATCTGTAATGGTTAGTGTAGGAGATATAGAAGAAGATTTTGCATGGCCAGGTTTGGCCACATGTCGCATGCTTTCCTCCATTTGTTCACTAAGCAACGGTTTTGTGGACAAGTGTGGGTTGGCATTTGTAATATTTTTACTTTTAGTGGTCATGTCATTAGAGTTAATAGTCCCGGTGTTAGTAGGGTTACTAGTTAAATTACTAGGATTATTTTTACTAGAAGATGTGTTTGGGACAAGACTAATAGGCTTAGTAGTGGTATTATTAGCCCTAGTAGTAAATGACGTGTCCAATTTACCAATAGACTGCTGCATGTCAAGACAATTGGTTAAAAATAAAGAATTATTTTTTGAGGGGTAGTGTCCAAAACAGTGTGCTCATTGCACAAATTGGAAAAGCGATTTTCTAACTGAAAACCAGCTGATTTTACTTCCATCATGGCATTGGTGGTATTAGCCATACGAGTATGTAGCGTATTACCTTTGCTAGATGACAAGGAGTTAGGATCCTTATTGACAAATTTCAACTTTTGTGTATTGATATACTTACCTGTGGAGGCATTGAATATTTTAACATCAATACCTGCCTCCATTGATGCCTACTTGCCTGTTTTTGAAATTCTCTTATCCGTTCTTCTTGATTTTTGAAAGGATACAGTGTGCCAGTCATTCTCATTGCTTGATTTGTGTGAACTTTGAGTGTCTTGATGTTGTATTGCTCCTTCTTTATTATCCTCCACCTGAGACATTGGAATTAATATGGTAGGGCAGTGGCCTAAAGTGTGTCCTAATGAACCACATTTTTTACACAGAATTTTGTCTCCTTCATATTCAATTATTTGCTTGTGCTCTTCAATAAAAATAAATTTTGCCATAGGTTTGTCCATTGGAACTTCCACACATAGTCTAGCATAACGCCCTCTTAAGGTAGATCATGTACATGCATCAACTTTTAGGAGTCTCCCAATAGAGTTACTAATTTTTTGAAGAATAATCCCGTCATAAAATTCAGTAGGCAGATTTGGGAGACGGATCCAAACAACAGTGCATATTTGTTTAGCATCAGAAGCTACAAAATTTGGTTCCCACCTTTGGCAGGAGAGGAAGTGACCAAAGATGAACCATGGTCCGTTTTGAAGAACTGAATTCATGCTCTCTTGCTTTTGAAATTTTGCAATATAGTAATCTGAGCGTAGGTCAATTAGAGGAAAGTTTTCATTTACTTTCCACAGTTCTTGAACTTTTTTTTCTAAGGATTTGGTGAAGAGTTCGTTTACCTTGTAATTTTATGACTATGGAATATTTCCAAGGCTTATACATACGGTTTTTATCCTCTTGAGAGAGGAAAATTTTTCTTTTCCCCGATGTATTATCATTTGTATGCCTTGGAGAGAAGGAAGTATGGATGTCGTTGGATAGAGGGACGATGGTTTCAATTATGATGTCCTTCCCTTCCTCTCCCCCAATTAACTTGTCTTTAAAGGAGGTTTATTCATCTCTTCTTTGCCAAAATAAAGGTTTTCCTAGTGGCATGTACCTTGCGTCTATATATATTTTATTTTTTATCAGGTGGGAATTGGGATGTATGATATAATTTCTATGCCTAATTAGTAATTCAATTCTAGCATCGAAATGGAGAAATTCTTTGTAGGGTGTACTTTTTACCTTAAATAAATCTTATGCGACGTGAATTAAATTAGTCTGGCCAATATGTATCAAATACTAGATAATGAAATAAAAAAAAAACATTTTTGTATTTTTTATCTTTTGCTAGATTTGTGAACTTCCTTGCATAGAAACAAAACTCAAATAAGAATTTTTGCCGATTTATTCGGTTGGCAGCTACTAAACTGCGAGACTTTCATTTTGTTAAACGTCAGTAAACGACGAAATTGATTGAAAACGTAAAGAGAACGTAATCTCATTTATTCCTACTTTACTTTTTCTTCTCGAGCACAAACACGTCTCTCCACCGCTTTTTTTTCGGTCATCGGTCACCTCTTTAACCCCCTTCTCCGCAACCTTAATTTTTATTATTAACAAATACCCAGAAAAGCAGCCAGGGAAAAAAAGGAAACCAAAATCACAAAAATTAACTCAAGAATCAATTTATTTTGAATTTTCGAATGAATCTCTCGATGTTTTTCAGTCTCTAGTGACTAGATGAAGGATAAAATGAGCCAGGAATATGATGATTTTCTCTTGATTATTATGTATTCTATATACTTACGTAAAAAGAAAGATCATTTTTCTCTAGTTTGTGTTTTTTAATGTAATTACATTAGGGAAGGGGATGGACAAAAACGAAAGGAAATGCGATATTGTTAATAAAGTTTGAACTCTCTACCTTAACTGTGGAAGGCAAAGAACTCAGCAAATAAGCTAGTCCTCAATCCATAATTTCACGTTTAAGTAATCGATGTGATATTTTATTCACATCCTTTATTTATAGAAGAACTTCGAATATGATACTATTATTTATATTACTAGATTACAATAATAACAATTTTGTGTTACTTTCAAACTTGTTATGATCAATTATTATGATCAACTATATGAATCAACATTAACTACCTTGATCTATTTGAACTTGTTCATTTTAGTATTAAATAATTTAGATTCTTTTAATTAGTTTTACGTTATAAGTTAGTAAAGAGATTGTTTTTTAGTTTTGATGTCATGCTTATTTTTCTTTTTATTTTTTGAATTTATATTTATATGATTTTAATTTAAAAGTGATAAAAAAGAACATAAGAAAAAAGAGGTGAAGGAGTTAACCTCAACTAAGCTGTAAAGTGGGACCCACAACCTTCCTCCTCCACGCTTATCCTCCTTTCTTCCACCTCTCTCTTTTGTCTTTTTCTCTCTCACTTGTATTTTTTTGTATTTAATAATAAAATAAAAATCCATATACATAATACACACACACACTACACAATTACACAAATCCAGCTGTCTATGTATAAATATGTAAACAACTATTCTGTGGAATGAAACCCCAGAAAACCCTTTTATTTTTCTTTTTATTTTTTTTGGCAGAAAATCTATTTAAGTAGTTGAAATAAAATAGAGTTTTGGAGAGAGAGATGAGAAGAAGAAGAGAGATAAAGTTGTCCTTCAAAGATTATGCCCCAAAGCATAAGCCAAACCTTACTTTGATTTTCAGAGAGTATCCAAAGCCATAACTTCTTCTCTTCTTCTTCTTCCAAATAGAAAATAAACAAAAAATAAACAAGTAACTGCCCTTATACTAGTACAAACAGAAAAACAGAAAGAAAAAACTATAGAGATAGGAGAAAAAAAAACCCATAGTGGTAGAATTTAATTTACATACACAAGAAAAAAGATTGTTCTTTTTCAGTTCATTCATTCCCATCAGCTTCACCTTTCATCTTATCCAATCTGTAAGTCTTCTGTTCTATTTAACTATTTTTTTATTAATTGTTTGAGCTGTTTTATTTCTGTTGCAATTGATATATGTTTTCCTGTTTTAAGCATTGAAATGAATGCAAGATTGAATTTTTAGTGAATTTAAGTAAAAGGGTGTTGTTTGATCTGAATTTAGGAGATCTGGGTGTGCTAAAGTTTGCATCTTTATTGATTCTTGCATGCTTATTTGATTGAAAGTTTTGATTTTTAGGGTGTTTTCTTGAGTTTTTGATTATGGGGTTTTGTCATTTGATTGGTTTTAAGGATCTGCTTACTTATTCAGTTATGTTATGTATTAAAAATTGAATCTTTTTAAGGAGTTATCTTGATCTGGATTGTTGGTTTTTTGGACTTGAATCAATGAGCGGTCCATAGATGTTTTTATTTTGTGTGTGTGTGTGTGTGTGTGTGTGTGATTTGCTTTGCTGGCAAATCCCTGCATTTGCGTTATTGGGATTGTCTTTATCCATAAAAAGACATTGGCGTTACTTGGATTTGCTTTAATTAATGATCAAAACTGATGTTGAACAAAATACAGCTATAGATTTCTTTTTTCCCTGCTTTGGATGATTGAAAATTTCTTTTTCTGTAGTTTCTTTTATTTACTGAATTTTGATATTTTTTTCTTTGGGGGAAAATTTGTTGTTCCGTATTAATTTTCTGCAGTGGATATCAGTCTTGTGAGGAAGAGCAGAGGGTAGATCCAGATCAGAGCAAGGCCGCAGGCTGGTGCTTCTTTTGGATTGAATCTGGACGACATGTTAGAAGACCGGTCTTGTTTGGTGTCAAGGGATTATCGGACAGAAAGTAACTGGGCGGCTTGCATGAGTTATCGCCTTGATAGGATTGAGGTCCAGCGTGGCAAAAGGCCATTGGAAAACGATGAGGAGAGTGAACAGGTGCAATGCAAGTTGCCAAAGCACTCCGATGCTTTCAACCGAGTGGGAGGAGTGGCTCTATCCTTGGGCAATTCTTCAGCATCCCCTGATGAGCAAGCTGGCAATCAGCGTCATGCTGGGGATAATTCTGATTCGAGCTCTCTTATTCATGCCATTGGCCGTGACAACTCCATCAGTTGTCTCATTCATTGCTCCAGGTCGGATTATGGCGCCATAGCATCTTTGAATCGTAGCTTTCGCTCATTAATTAGGAGCGGTGAACTTTACAGATTGCGGCGGCAAAATGGCGTGGTTGAGCATTGGGTTTATTTCTCCTGCCAGCTGCTTGAATGGGAAGCTTTTGACCCTACTCGCCGCCGTTGGATGCATCTGCCAACTATGAATCCCAATGAATGCTTTGTGTTCTCCGACAAGGAGTCTTTGGCCGTTGGCACAGAGCTGCTTGTGTTTGGAAAGGAGGTATTGGCGCATGTTATTTATCGCTACAGCTTATTGACAAATACGTGGTCATCTGGAATGCAGATGAATGCACCAAGGTGTTTGTTTGGTTCCGCCAGCCTCGGGGAAATTGCCATTCTAGCTGGTGGTTGTGACTCGCAAGGCAGTATTCTTAGCTCAGCTGAACTTTACAATTCGGAGGCAGGAACATGGAAGACCTTGCCGAGCATGAACAAGCCACGTAAGATGTGTTCTGGGGTATTCATGGATAGAAAGTTTTATGTGATAGGAGGCATTGGAGGAGCTGAATCAAAGCTGTTGACGTGTGGGGAGGAGTATGATCTGGAAACAGGAACATGGACTGAAATCCCGAACATGTCTCCTGTGCGTACAGCAAGGAACGATATGCCTGCTACATCTGAAGCACCTCCTTTGGTGGCAGTTGTAAATAATGAATTGTATGCTGCTGATTATGCTGACATGGAGGTGAGGAAGTATAACAAGCAAAGCAAAGAATGGGTTACCATAGGACGACTGCCCGAAAGAGCAGCTTCAATGAACGGTTGGGGTTTGGCTTTTCGAGCATGTGGTGATAGGTTAATTGTAATTGGAGGGCCTAGGGCAATTGGTGAAGGATATATTGAAGTAAATTCGTGGGTACCGAGTGAAGGGCCTCCACAATGGAACTTGCTTGGCCGAAAGCGATCTGGTAGCTTTGTGTATAATTGTGCCGTCATGGGATGCTGAAGATACGGAATTTGGCAGCCCCCATGTGTTGTACTGTAGCGGCATTGGATGCCGATAGATACATAATTGGTTTCTGGGGCAACAGGATTCTTGCTAATGGGTAATTTATCCCAACTTCTTTTTTTTTTTCTTTTCACAATCTCTTTTTTTAAATCTTTTTCAGAGTGGGGGAGCACAAACTTGGCTCAAGATTCAACAGCATAGTTTTCTATGGAAGGTCTTGAGTACAATTCTTCTTTTCCTTTTCAACTTCTATCCAAAGTTCCTTTCAATTGAATTGTCTTCTCCCATTTTCAGTAACATGATATTCCAAAGGTGGCCATCAAATAGCTAGAGATAGGTGAAATAACATAAGGGAGCAATACAGTGATAGATTTTGATTAGTGTTTGCTAAAGCTTCTCTAGGAAAGTCATAGAACTTGTACTTTTTGGGTTTCGCGATCCTTATTTTCTTGACTTTGTCGAGGAGAGAAATAAGGTTCTGCAAGGTTGTTCTTTAGCATCTTGGCTTGTGTACTGAGTACATTTATTCTTGCAATTGATGGTCCACAAATTAAGCTTACTTTCAAGACAATTGGTAGCTTTGGAAATGAAGTACTTTGTTCCAGCTTTCAGTTTCATACATGTTATCTTAGGAATTCTTTCCTTTATTGTGACAGTTTCATACTCACCTGTTTTTTATTTGTGAATACATGAAAAAAGAAAAGAAAAAATGGTGTAGGCACCAATTATATGGTGCTTTGATATTAATATCATTTGTTATTACTACTTCTTTTTCTTTTTTCTTTGAGCTGGGGGGTCTATCGGAAATAGCCTCTCTACCTTCACAAGGTAAAGGTATGGTCTGCCGTTTGCGCACACTCTACCCCCCGACCCCACTATGTGGAATTACACTGGGTTTGTTGTTGTTGTTGCTCTCGAGATGAGAAAGAAAATCAGAAGCTTATGGATGGTAAACCGGCTTTTAAGAGTTGTAAGCTTGACGCGAGATTGTAACCTTAGTTGATGCATGGTATTCATGAGGTTTACCCACTAGTTGTCCAGATTCATTCTTATGAGATTCCACTTTCATGTTTCTTAGTTATGCATCCCTTGTCGGTATAATTTCCTTTCGGTTTCTCCCTTTTAGCCGTTACCTGAATTCGCGCAGTTTGAATGCGTGTACTCGAATCCTTGTATAGCCATTTATTACGCGATTGCACCGGTACAATCGTATAGCAATTGCTTATACAAGTGTCTCTTTTGCCAGTAATTGCCTCTCTTGCTCTTATACAGTGTAGCTGAAAGCTTGAATTAATTCCTTTTTGATAGTTCTCTTCTGGCACATACTTTCCATGTTCCAAGTGGAAAGTATATCCTTTTTCGCATTTCCCTTTTCTGCTTTTCCTTTTTAAGCTTATTTGTATACATTTCTAAGCCGAGGGTCTATCGGAAACAGCCTCTCTACTCCTCCGGAGTAGGGGTAAGGTCTGCGTACACACTATCCTCCCCCATACCCCGCTTGTCGATTTCACTGGGTTGTTGTTGTTGTTGTATACATTCCAACTTTTCCTTTTCTGAGTGTCAAATTGAATTTAGTACTCATTGGAGATAGATGTCTTTCTAATTTGAGACTTGTTTTAGGTCCTCTTGTTGATGAATATGTATAATTTGGGAAACTCTTGCATGAGTTAAACTCTGTCATACTTGGTTGGCTTTCAAGATTTAGTTTAGTGATCCAGAATATGCTATGTAAAATAATGGAGGGGAAAGTTGGAAAGTAGAAAGAAAGATAATACTAATAAATTTGATGCTTCAGATTTTTTTGTGTCATTCAGTGAAACAGCCAATGTATATGGCACATTTAGGTGGAGAAGTGATTATTTAACATAACAGATCTTGATTTGTAATCTTTTACTGCATTTCTGTTAAAATTCTTATTACAACAAAATATTTAGTGTACTCCGATAAGTGTGGTTTGGAGAGTTGTACGCAGCCTTACCCCTACTTGAAGTAGGTAAAGAGGTTATTTCCGGTAGACATTCGGCTCATGGCACACATAATCAAAGCAGTAAGAAAGGAAATATAGTAGTGAAAAATTCTTGAAAAAAAAAAGCAGTAACAATAGCAAGAGCACAATAAAACTACTAGTATGGAAAGGGCGTACGCTCTACACCCGACTAGCCTTTTGCCCTAATTTTGACCTTCACAACCTCCTATAAAGGGTCATGTCCTCGGTAAGCTGAAAATGTACCATGTTCTGCCTAATCACTTTCTCCCGGTTCTTCTTCGGCCTTTCTCTACCTCTCTTTAGACCCATCATATTCAACCTCTCATATCTCTTCACCGAGGCATCTGTACATTTTCTCTTCACATGCTTGAACAATCTTAACCTCACTTCTCGCATCTTTTCTTCCACGGAGGCCACTTCCACCTATCCCGAATATTTTCGTTCCTGACATTATCTCTCATAGTATACCCACAGGTCAATCTTAACATCCTCATTTTCGCTAATTTCAATCTCCTGGACAAACTTGTTACCATTCGCAGCAATGTGATGAGTTCGAATCTTGGCCCTTTTGGCTAGTTTGGGATTGACATGAGGGGTAAAAACCTGATCCAATCAAGACCTTTTATGAGAAACTCCCTAGGTGAATTTGCAAGGATTGTTTTTCAGTTGTTGCAGTATTTGAACTATTTTTGCTAAAAAAAGAAATGTTTGCGTTTATCAAAGATTTCCAAACTCATGCTTTTAAATCTTTGGAAAACTGAATAACTCCTGAAAGTCGCTTTGAATATTGGAATGATTTAACCAAGAATAATCCATTTTAAAGGTATCCTTTATAATAATAATAATAGTAATAATAATAATAATAATAATAATAATAATAATAATAATAATAATAATAATAATAATAATAATAATAATAATAATAATAATTTTGTAATACGAAGACTAATAGGGTCAATTTTTTTATTCAGATAGAAACGGGTTACGTTCACCCATTTCCTCATTTATTTTGTCAATTTTACCAAAACCATTGCTTTTCGACTTCTCCTCTTCATAGACTGCCTCAAATAATTTAAAAAGAATTTATAATTGGAAAAATGACATTGTATAGCCGCTTGAAAAATAATAGCCGAAAATATATATATAATTTATATAATTTTGTATATTTATATATTCTGTATGTTATATACAAAAATTATACAAATTTTATACAGTTTTCGGCTACCAGATGTAACTAATTTCTAGCGCTGGCTAAAAGTAATAATATCCCGTTTTTAATTTTATATTGTTGGGCTTATACTTTTAACCCCATACAAGAAAGTAAAAAAGCAGCTTCTCTTTTATTTTTAGGGTAATTACATTTTTGAGCTGCTAAAAAAATAATAGCTAAATTATATACTATATGTTTTGTACATTAAGTATAAGTATACATAATCAATATACATATTTTGCAAAAATTACAATATACGATACTTTTTGGGGTGGTCTTTAACTTTTGAACTCACATGGGCAGAATTTCAAGGTCAAAGGTTAAAAGCGTTGCTGATGAGGCAAGCGAAGGGTACACTTGCATTTAAGTTATGGCCATGGGGTAAAGTGGGACAAAAATTCAAGACCATCAACTTTGAGAAATATTTATGTACTTCACCACATATTTTACATATTTGGGCCACTACTTGTAATTATTTTAGGCTGTCGGGCCAAAAATAAAAGAAACCCTTAATTTTTCTAGTCAGATGTCCCCGAGAGAACCAAAAGAAACCAACATTTAGTGTAGCGGTGGCAAAATAGTTTAAAAGAACAGTTATCCACCCATCTTATCCATTAAAAAATAGGTTAGATAATGAACTTTTTAAAAACAGGTCAAATATAGATAAGAACCATATTATCCACGTAAAAATGGATAACTAATGCGTTTAACTTTTATATCTGTAAAACTTCAAATTGGGGGTTCCTTAAGTTTGGGAGACTAGGAATTCTCCCAAAAGTGATCATATTCAAGAAGCCTTGGATAATATGAATATCCATATTACCCGCCGGTTAAACTATTTTTTATCCGTATTAAATATGGGTCGAGTCGGATAATTTATCCATTTTTTACATTACCTGATTTCGATTTGTCCATACCCGACCTGCCCAGACCCGCCCGTTTTCCAACCCTAGTTTAGTGTGTTGAAAAGCATCATTTAGTGGTAGGTAGTTCAGATTAATGTGCATCTTATGCTGTGAAATATTGGATTAGTGTAGAGGTAATTAACAGAAAAAAGATGTGGCAGGCCCAAGGCCCAAATGAAGCGAACTGGCAGAGTTCGACTATCTACACTGAATTGGGCTTTAGTACAGGCGGCTATAATGTCTCATCTCTTTTTTTTTTCTTTTGAAAAATTGGCATCCTATAATAACACATAATAAAAATTGGCAATTTTTTAGCCTTATATTAGGTTTGACAAAGATAGCCCCAAATAATTGGCATTATATAGCCAAATCTTAAAAAAACTACTCTCTTTTATATTCTCTCTCAAAAAAACTACACGCTTATTTTGGCTCCCTTCCCCCTTTCTCTCCTTGTATTTCTTCTTCTATCTCTTCTCTTTTGCTCTCATAGTTTAGCAAAAATTCTTGCACATTATGCAAAAAAAATCATTGGGATGAAAAGGTAAGGTTGATCTCACATCAGAAAAAAACAGAAGCAAAAACTAAGAGAGAAAAAATATATTTCAACTTTGTTTTTCTTCTCTCTTCTTTTTTTTTTGATTGGATTGAATGAGTGGGTGTAATTGAAATTGGTTGAAAATACCTAAACGAGGCTATATACAAAATTTGATCAAGATTACCAAAAACTAAGAGAGAAAAAATATATTTCAACTTTGTTTTCTTCCCTCTTCCTTTTTTTGGTTGGATTGAATGAGTGGTTGTGATTGAAATTGGTTGAAAATACCTAAACGAGGATATATACAAAATTTGAGCAAGATTATAAGTGATTTAGACTGGTTTCAGGTAAAAAAATCAGACCTAACAATCCAACTACGACATATGTATATCACGTTGTATATCGTGTGCATCAATGTATCTCACACACAAGTTTTTAAGGACGTCTATGTATATCACTTTGTATATCGTGTATACAACACAATTCTTTTATGGATGCCTGTGTATATCACATTGTATATCGTATATATAACACAAATTTTCATGGATATACACATAATATACATGAGATATCACTGATGTACATAGAGATATACACGGGTTACAATAGGGGATACACATGTGGAGTCGTCTTGAACTTGATTTTTCAATCTGAAATGTGTTATACAAAGAAGGAAAATAAAATTTTAATAATTTTTTTTGATATCCACATTATTATTATGTTATACACTGTGATATACAAATAATATAATTATTAATTATTGATAAAAAAGGAAAATAAATTTTTGATATAGCATGTTTAAGCAAGGTCTAAAATATAAAAATAATAAATATAATTGTGGGAGTAAATAATATTTTTGTATACAAAGAAAATTAATTTTTGATATACACAAAGAAGAAAAATAAATTTATAATATCTATTTTGGTATACACATGTCCATGTGCTATGCACTGTGATATACAAATAATACAATATTTTTATTGTGATATACATTGATATAAAGGCAGCAACAACTATATATATCATTTTATATTACTGATATACGAAGAATAATATTATTTATATACAAAGAATGAAAATATAATTTTAATATACATGTTGATATAGACA